GGTGGTGGGTTTCGAAACCCGGATCACTAGACCATTAGCCAAGTGCTTTACCACCTGCGCTACACAACATTATAAGTATGGAAATAAATAAAAATATATTATAATTACAAAATAATTAAAAACTATTTTTATTGAATGTATATAAATAAAAGTGTTGTAAAAAAATTAAATAATAACAAATAACTATATATATATATATATATATATATATATATATATATATATATATATATATATATATATATATATATATATATATAAAATGCCGCCAAGAACTGTTTCGCCGCCCGGCACAGCAACATGATTGGCGTTCTTAATTATCGAAATTCTCCTATATTATTGGTAAAGGACTTTTGTTCCAAGGTACCTTCATTCTATTTGGTGCCCCTGGGAAATCTGCCGCCCAGGACAATCTGAGTGTACATTGAATTGCGTGACTTTCTGAGTAAATTGAGTCGTAGAGTGACGTGATTTAAATCATTAGGCATTATGATTTGCGAGAAAATAAATTGCACTCAAGTGCTATTTATTTTCCCGCAATTCATAATGCCTTCGAATTTAAATCACGTCACAAATCACAAAAATTAAGATATTAGATAAAAATTAAGATATTAGATTCTCAAACAGCATGTTTATTATAATGAACATGCTGTTTGAGAATCTAATATCTTTTTAATTTTTGTTAAAGAAATATATAAATTGTTGCTATATCATGATTATTTTATGTTAAGGATTTTATGAAAATTTTATAAACTTGGTAACATAAATATGCATAAATTTTGTTGTATTAATAATTATTATTGTATTTAAACTTTATAAAAAATTAATAATAAAAATTGTTATATATTTATTATATATATATATATATATATATATATATATATATATATATATATATATATATATATATATATATATATATATATATATATATATATATATATATATATATATATATTAAAGTATGAAATTTTTTTGTATTTTTAACACGATACTATTAAATTTAAAATGTTTCAGAGAAAGCCTGAATACAACTCATGGAAAGGCTGATAGGTAGGTTTTTTAATTAGGGCATTTTTATGTAGGTAATGTTATTGGGCAGCAGCTTTAAGGCTTACCTATTTTTTATAAGTTGTTGGCTCAGGGTGGGAGGGGGTTATCTAGAAAACCATACTTTCAGTGCTTGGGTTTTTATTAATTTTTCTATTTTTCTTAACGTATTTTGAAAATTTGGGATCAATTAGTTTAACTTATTGGATCATGATCCAGATCCAAAAAAGTAGGATCTTGGACTAACAACTTTTCATACTTCATTTATTGAAATAATTATAAATACGTAAGTATAAAAAAAAACTTCTTGGAAAATATGAAACTTCAGGATTGCAAAGAAAAGCCAGAATTCAAAACTTAAATTTTTGACCAGTCATTCGTTTGACCGAATTGATCCATGGATTTGACTAATATGCTCAGATTAGGCATTTCAAATGAATTTTTTTTTACTTAAATTCGCCTAAATATTTGGAGCAAGTAGCTAAAATTTCAAGTGTTTTTACTTTTTACTTAGTCATACTCTTTAAATAGCTTAAAAATTTTGTCAGGGGGTAATAATCCCCTCCCCCTTGTGTCTGCGATGGTTTAAGGGGCGGGACGGGTTTTAAATTTTTAATTAATGATTAATTGCCTGATTTCTATAACTTTTTTTTATATATTTTTATTTCTTATTATAGAACCACAGTTCCTGATGCAATAATGCGAAATCTCAAAAAGCAACTTGCAACAGTTTTTGCCAATTACTCGTGGGCGTGCGTCAGACGAAGTCTTAATCAGAGCGGCCTAGATAGGAAGAAAAAACGAAAGTAATCAGCAATGCAATTGTGATTCTGTAATAATGATAATATGTGAAAAAAATTTTTTATACAGAATGATTTTTTTTTAATAAGAAAATGTTATTTCAAACTTTAACTTACCTATTATTAGTAATTAAAAAGAAGAATAGACATACTTTCCTTCCAATCAAAATCAAAACCTAACTTCGTATGATCTTAGTTTGGTTATTAGATTTATGATATTAATTATAAAATAATAAACGTTTTGGTTCCTATCATTTGCGTTTTAAGACTTTTCAGGGATTGGAGTCCTTTTTAACGTGCCACAGCATAAAAATGACTAAAGCAGTAGAAAAAGAAAAAGGTCCGCTTAATAATGTCGGAATCCCGAAATTTTAGGGCCCTAGCCCCCTCCTCTTTAATCTATCACTGGTTCCTATAGGAACCAGTGCTGGATTAAGGGGGAGGGCTACGGCCGTATATATACGAATCTAAAATTTTCCGTCAGCATCCTATAAGAATCCTGTTAATCCTGCAAGGTCTTTTAAAATATTTTTGTAGATCTTATATTATCTTATAAGAATTCCTTCAAATCCTACAAGATCCTTCAAAAGATTCTTGTAGGTCCTGCAGGGACTTGTGCATCTCATCCTATAGGATTCTTGTAGGATTTGTAAGATCAGTCGTCTAGTGTATGGTTGAAAAATAACGATCTAAATTTTAACGTTATTTCAACGTTCGACGTTTAAAAAAATAACGTTGAAAATTTCAACGTTAATTCAACGTTTCTTTTTAACTAAAAATAAACGTGGAAAATAAACGTTAAAAATCAACGTTGAATTAAAGTTAAAATTTTCAATGTTTTTTTTTTAGCAATCAACTTGAAACTTATACCCCGTTCATACTGACGATAAAACACGTTTTAACTGTTGTATTTTAAACGCGCTTAAAATTTTATTGTTCTCACCAAGTTTAAAATTGGTTTTAATTTACACGCGCGACGAAAAAAGCCGTTTATATAAAACAACATCGGTGAGGTTGTTTTGTTTGTGTTTTATTATACTGAACTGTGCGGAAGAAAAAACTGTTGCTGAAGAAAAAGTTAAATCTAAAAAAAGAGGTAGACATTGCCAATGTCTACCTCTTTTTTTAGATTTAACTTTTTCTTCAGCAACAGTTTTTTCTTAAAATAAAAATCATTTAAAAATAAAAATCATTAACATTTATTTTCTTGATCATTTTGTAAACAAGGAAAAAAATATTTATTTCAATTCGATCCAAAATAAATAAATTTACTAATTAGTATTTTTGTTTCCTCGTCATCCCAATGTCATTGGGATGACGAGGAAACAAAAATACTAATTAGTAAATTTATTTATAAAATATATTATTTCAATTCGATCCAAAATAAATAAATTTACTAATTAGTATTTTTGTTTCCTCGTCATCCCAATGTCATTGGGATGACGAGGAAACAAAAATACTAATTAGTAAATTTATTTATTTTGGATCGAATTGAAATAAATATTTTTTTTCTTGTTTACAAAATGATCAAGAAAATAAATGTTAATGATTTTTATTTTTAATATAATACTATCATATATATTTATAAATAATGCTACATATATTATAAATGAATCTCTTTTTTTTATTACTATAAACAAGAAAAAATATATATATATATATATATATATATATATATATATATATATATATATATATATATATATATATATATATATATAATGTCTTAACCTTTGATGTAATATATATATCTTAACTTTTAATTAAATATAATTTACAATAGTGTTTTTGAATAATATTTTACAATAGTGTTTTTTTTAATAATAATTTTAATATTATCGATGTTATAAAGTGTTTTCACATCTTAAAAATACTTTAATTATGATGTAAAAACAACATTCGATATTACTTTTACTCTATAGATAACTTCGTTTTATTTTTTGTCTTAGAAAAAAAAAATTTGGCAGGAAATTTTGCTATACTTGCAAGCTTCTGGTTATGAAGACAGAGATGAAGAAATGTGTAAAACAAGAATTCACACATTAACAAGTGCATATCGAAATTACCTAGATAATAAACGAAATACAAGTGGGACTGGTCCTTTGAAAAAACCTTTCTGCTTTGATGAAATTGATAGTGATAAACCAACTACATTACCAACATTTTTGAAAAGTTCTTCAGGAACAAATGTTTTTGTTGAAGAAACTGCAGATTTGAACAGTTTAAATAATTGTGTTAATGAGTTAAAAAACTGTGAACATATTGATATTGAAGTTGTTCCATCAACTTCTAAATCAGAAGAGTTGTTAAAAAAAGATAAAAGTTTTTACTTTAAAAAATCCAAAAAGAAAAAATCAAGAAGTGATGTAATGTTTGAGAAAATAAATGCCACTGTTAACACATTTATGACCTCACAGGCTGATATTGATCGTAAAATTTTAGATTGTCTTTTAGAAAATCACAAAGAACAAGAACCATATGTTATATTAAAAGTTCGCCAAGCTGGAGATATATATTTCATTGAAATAGAATTTTTGGTGACAGATTTGACTCTAGAAAAACTTACAAGCACAATAAAAGAGGAATTTACAATTGAAAATAATGCCACTTTATTGATTACCAAGTTACCAAATATACTTATCGAAAATGATAAGGATGTTAAACGTCTCAAAAGTGGGGCTGAAATTGAATTTTTGATTGTAATGAAAAAAAACTAAAACTATTTTTTTGTAATGTTATGTTGTTTTTCAAGATAAAAAATATAAATTTTTAAATATTATTTTAAAAGTTCATTTACACCTAATTAGTTGTAAAGTAATGTTTATTTATAGCACTCCTTTTAAACTCTGCTTTATTGTCAATTTCAATGCAACTGTTGTTTAATAGAGGGTTTACTAAGTTAATTTCTGTTTGTTTAATCCATTCATTTAAAAAAAATTTGTTTTGTCAAAGTACAGAAATTATGTAGAATACAACATGTTGTAACAATATTGACTGTGTGTTCAACTGTTGTATCTAATCTTTTTAAAAGACATTGAAATCGACCTTTCAATCTTCCAAATGCATTCTCTATTACAACTCTACACTTACTTAGTGAAGCGTTAAACTTGGTTCTTCTATACTTAAACTTCCACGTTAAACTTGCTTCTTCTATATAAGCGTTAAACTTGCTTCTTCTATACTTAAATTTCCACGATCTGAGTAGGGTTTCATAAGCCAATTTTCAAGGGAATAAGCTGAATCACCGAGAATAAGAGGACCAATTTCTATATTATTAATTATTTTGTTTAAGTTATTAGGTAAAAAGGTTCTGACTAGACACTCTTTATATAAAGGAGAATTTTTAAAAACTCTTGAATCGTGAGATTTGCCAGTCCACCCAACAAAAATATCTCTGAATAAGTACTTGCTATCTGCCAACCCCTGTAATATAATGGAGTGATAATCTTTTCTGTTTATATAATCCTCTGAATTTTTATAAGGAGCCTTTATTCTAATGTGACACCCATCAACTGCTCCAACTACTTGCGGAAAACCATATAGTTTTTCAAAACTTGCCATTATCTCTATTGTCTCTTTCTTTGAGGGTAAGAAAATGTATTTTTTCAGAAAATTATCAACAAAAAGTTTACAAATTTTATGAACTATTGTACAAACAGTAGATTTTCCCAAGCCAAACAGGTTGCCTATTGTCCGGTAATCTGCAGATCCACTTAAAAAGTAAAGTGTTATAGCTAACTTTTTTTCTATAGGTAAAGATTTGCAAAAACTAGTTTCTTATATAGGCATAAAAATTGAAACTTCCTTGCATAGATAGTTAAAGCCTGCTTTTGAAATTCTTATGTTTTGAATCCAATCGTCGTCGTTCCAACAGAACGACATAGTTTTGTACCAAAAGTGCTGACTGCGAGGTTTAGTCCAAAATCTTCTGTGAATAGAATAATTATAAGCACGGATACAGTTTATCAATATGTGCTGTAATTGCATTCTTTTTTTTTTCCTTAATATATACAAGAACACTCTTAATTTAGAGATCAAGTTTTTATTTGAGAATGCCATTTTTAATGTTGAGATTAAAACGTTTGATGTGAACGCAAAAAAACTGAAAACGTGTTTTAATATAAAACTGGTTTTCCTTCAAAACCAGTTTAGTTTAAAACAGCATTTAGTGTGAATGGGGTATAAGATAGCTAAAAATAATCGTCTTATTTACATAATTTAGATATTTAAAATTTTTATTTAAATGATAAATAGGCAAGCTTTTTAACAAAAGTTGCGAAAACCTAACTTGTATTAAAAAGCTTGTTTTGTTTTTTTTCTTTTGTTTGTTTGTTTTATAATAGTTTTAATAAATAAAATGTTTTATTATATCAAACATTTTATTATTCTATAAAAAGTAGGTCACAAGTCAAGTGTTTAGTTTATGTCATATTTTTGAAATGTATTGAAAATGAAGTTAAATATTACAATGTTACAAAAACCATTTATTTTTAATTTCTACTTTTAAATAAAGAAAAAAAAAAAAGTTCAACTGCATAAACAAATAAAAGAAAATTACGTAAAATTAAAATTTTACTTTAATTATTTGTCACAAAAATTACAAATAAAAATCCCGCAAACAATTTCCATAAACAAAAACCCAAAGAAAAGCTACTACCAGATTTTGACCCGTTGCAGAAATCAGTATCACAGCATGTAACCTATAACAAATTATATCACAAAAATATATAATTATATCAAAATTGTTATGTAACCTGGACGGAACAAAATTGAAAAAAAATATTTACTCCAAAATTAATGAATACATACCGCACAATTAATGCCTGGTGAACTAATTCCACATCCTCCGTTGCAATCTAAACCTATGTCACAAACTCGAGTAATTGTGTACCCATCTGAACTTGTTTCATTTCTTGTCATGCATCGATTGCAGTTTGACAAAGTAGATAATGCATTGAGAGAAACAACTTTATTTGTTGTTACCCCACTCAAACATTTTAAGCTTGTCACTGAGTATAAAAATAAATAAAAAATTAAGAGCCAAAATAAAATCAAAAGTTTGCAACATTGAAATAAAAAATATATTTTTAAGTAAATAACAAGATTTAAAAAATATTACCATAAAGAAAAAAAAAAAATTAGAACAGAGTAAAATCCTAATGAAAAACTGCTGTAGAAAACTGAAAACATAAAACTGTAGAAAAAAAACTGTAGAAAACCATAACATCTTTTGAAAAATGAAAAGTTAACGTTTATTAACATACGTGCTCCACTTATAGGCTTAAAACTTGATGGCAATTCATCGTAACAATAAAGTGCAGCAATGCTTCTCTGGAAGGAAGCGTGAACTTTATCTATTAGGCTTGCGTATATTTATTTTAATACATTGTTCCAGTTTAGGATGTTGAATACTGGATCTTCTGGACTCGATGCATGGGTTTTGCTTTTGTCTCTGTTTTTATGACTAGGCAACTCATTCGATTATCTTCTAATGAGAGTGCAGATCTAAAACTCAGTTTTATGGTTCTGAGGCCGGCTGGTAGTCAGGTTTCCCGAACTCTGTGGTAGCTCTCAGAGAGGCTGATTCCATCAACAGCTGAGAAATATCAGAGTACTAACAGTGCCATGTTGCGCATGGATGGTGTCCCTGTTTGTACTTTCGGTGTGCATTGCCAAGGCCACATTGGAGCCCTTTGTTACGGCTTAGGGTTTATTAATAGTAATAAGGCAATTGCTTGGGCTATTAAACAGTGTACTGAGTACTATCTATGCTTCGAGTCATGTTCTTTAACAAATTTAAAAAGGAGTAAAGTAACAAAAACTATAAAACACAAAAAACCATTGCCATCACCAAGTTCTCTAAACCTATCATTCACTAATATTCGTGGTCTTTAAAGCAACTTTTCTTCTGTTGAGTTCTATCTCTTGCACCGGACCTACTTTCTTTTTGTGAGACTAATATGAGTTCAACTGTCTTATCTTGTAATCTTAGTGTTGATAGCTATCTTCCTTTAAATCATAAAGACTCCAATAGTCACATACTTGGCCTAGGCATTTACATTCGTAAGAATTTACCCATTTGTCGGGAAACTAGATTTGAATCCACTGGCTACTCTTTTATGTGCTTTTGTTTAGCACCACTTCATTCTATTGCCTTTCTTTTTGTTCTACATTGCATTCCTTCATATAAAAATTGATGCTATTTCTGATCATATTGATCAAACCCTCTTTCTTTATCCATCATTGTTGTTGTCGGTAACTTTAATGCTCATTACACTGAATGGATTGGCTCTAGTGTCATTGACTCTGCAGGCATTAAAGTCCAAAATCTTTGCTTTTCTCAATCTCTTACACAAATATTCAACTTTCCAACTCGCTTTCCAGACAACCCGAATCATTAACCTTCTATACTCGACTTATGTCTTGTTTCTGATCCTAGTCAGTACTCAGTTTCTCCACATTTATCCTTAGGTGCCTCTAATAACAGTTTGATCTCTCTAAAACTATTATCTCATTCTTCTTTATCATCAGAATCCCCCTATTATCGTACATTTTACAACTAGTTTAAAGCTGACTGGGGCTCTTACTGTGATTTTTTTCGTGATCGCACATGGGTAGAAATCTTTCGTCTTCCTGTTAACAAATGTTCTTTTTTACATAACTTCGTGGATTCAAGCTGGCATGAAATCTTTAATTCTCTCTCTGCGATTTTAGGTCAAGCCTCACTCTTCTCCATGGTTTTCTTTACATTGTGCTGCTGTAATTGCCAATCGAAACCATTACTTGCATATCTATCAGCAAAACAATTCTCCAGAAAACAGATGTCTGTTTATTATTGCTAGAAATCATTGTAAAAAGGTTTTGTCCCATTAGTCTTCTTCCTATCAAAGCAAGATTTTTGAATCTTTAATTAACAAACACTTAATCTCTCATCTTGAATCTAATAACTTACTTTCTGATCAACAGGGATTTCGATCTTCTCGTTCAACGGCTGATTTGCTAACAGTAAAAACAGGCAGATTTTATCGTGCATTAAATAAAGGTGGAGAGTTTGAGGCCATCGCTCTTGACAGTTCTAAAGTTTTTAATAAAGTTTAACATGCTGGTCTTCTCCATAAGCTTTTTTCTTACAGTGTATCTGGAAAAATCTTTAAGATTATTGCATCCTTCTTTTCCAATCGTAGTATAAAGGTTGTCGTTATTGGATAGCACTCTTCTTCTTATTCTGTAACCTCAGGGGTTCCTCAAGGTTCAATCCTTGGCTCTATACTCTTTTTAATTCATATAAATGATCTTCCAGATATTCTCACATCTAAGGTGGCATTGTTCGCTTATAATACTGTCATTTATTCTTGTCATGATAAGAAGCCAACACTCTCTGATTGCTTGGAGGGGGCATTTGAGCTTGAAAAGGATCTCCCTTCTGCTAGAGCATGGGGCTCATAGTGGCTGGTGAACTTTAATTTAGATAAGACTTTCAGCCAATCGTTATCCAATAATTTAAACCTTCCTATATTTATGAAGGATAATGTACTCAATGAGCCATCTACCCTTCATCTTCTAGAATTAACTCTTACTTCCAAACTTTCTTGGAAACCATTTATCAAATCCGTTGCAAAATTATAATCTGCTAAAGTTGCATCTCTTTATTGAGCCTGGCACTTTCTTACTCTGGATTCTATTCTCTATCTCACTAAATCTCAAATCCGGCCTTGTATGGAATACTGTTGCCATATCTGGGGCGGATCTAATGATGCCCTTTCTCTTTTAGACAAGTTGCAAAAACGCATTGTAAACATAGTTGGACCTGTTCTTGCAGCCAACCTTCAATCATTATCACATCGTTGTAATGTGGCTTCTCTTTTTCTTTTTTACAAATACTATAATGGACACTGCTCTAAAGAGCTAGCGTCTCTTGTGCCATCTAATAAAATTTATTCTCGTGTTACTCTTTATTCAATAAAGTCTCATTCTTTTTCTGTGACTGTTCCTAAGTTCTCCAAACTCTTAGTCTAGTTTTTTTCCTCAAATATCCGTTCTTTGGAATTCGCCTCCTTCTTCTTGCTTTCCTGATTCATATAGTTTGCAGTCTTTTAATCCGTCTGTTAATCGTTATCTTGCTCTACAATCTTCATCTTTTCTCTTTCAGAAACTTCCAACTCTAATTAGTGGTTGCTTGCAGCCTTGTTGAAAGCAAAGAGAAAAAAAAAATTCCAATTAAATGCTCATCCGCGGTACTCTGTGATAAGATCGTGAGGACTTCTTGAGGTATCTAAAAAAAAACTTGTCAAAGAAATGTTTTACGTATTATTTATTAACTTGTTAAAAATAAATACACATTTTTAACTTTTTGAAAAATAGTTATCTGGTTTTATTTAGCATAAAATGTTAAATAAAAGCAGATGAACTTACATTTGGCAACTTTGCACTGTAATATAAGGGCTAACATCTCTAATGTTCAAGCAATTGTGATACGTACCACTTTTTGTTCTAAAATTGATATTAAAAAACAATACAAAAGATTGCTCACTCCAATTTTTTATATAGACTTACATTGTATT